GGGGTTCAGTGTCTTGCCCAAGGACACTTCAACATGTGGAACTGCTGGCACTGTGATTTGAACCTCCAACCCTCCGACTGGGAGACAACCACTCTACCCAGTGAACCACAGTCGCGCCACGTTCTTCCGATACAGGTATTAATGCAAATATTGTAATGTCATTCTACTCTGAAGTCTTTCTTACAAAAGAACTGTTTCCAGGATTGCCCCCCGCCCTCCAAAGAAAAAAAACAAACAAAAAAAATGGCTGTGCAAATTTGTTCATCAGCATCTTTATGATATAGCAAATGTACACTTCTTTTTTTCTTTTACTGGCCACGATTTAGCAGATTCAAAATGATGAACTCTTCTTCGAAAGGCAGTTTTGTTTCTACCAGATGACTATTGTCCCCCCGTTAGGTGAGCAATGTATCGCATCTGCACTAAAATGTAAAATCAGGGGTAATATACATAGATGAAATGAACATGTTAACGCATGCAAGAGTGTGTGCATGAAGTAGCCCGTGTCTGTTACACCAGTCTTTACCTCTAGCGTAGCTCCAACCCAAAATGAGTAGCATGTGTCTACAGGTTTGTTGGGGCGCCCGTGGAAGCCACTCTGCTGCCTCATGATACACCAGCGCCGGATCCTGTCGAGCTCCCGCTTACTCAGTGCTTCCTCCAGCCGACCCATCAGACACAGAGAGGCTATGGCGCAGTACGTCCAGCCACCTGGATGCACAGACAGTTGCATGACACACATACAGTGGATATGGACAATTCATTTAACAAATCTAGTGTAGAAAAAGTTAAAAGCGGCTCCAGTGGTTCACACCACATTCTGATGACAGACAACTGGATGATTACAGAGCAGTGCAGTAAAAGCATGCTTGGGCCCTTTCTACTCTCACTTTCCACCTTTCCTTGAAAGTTGTCACAGCATGGAACTACTATATATTTTATATGAATATACAGAAATGTGTGCAAGTGAGGAAAGAGGCTGCATTTTTATACTTTTATGCACAACATTAGAAACATTTGTGAATGATGCTTTGGGCAGACCTTCTGACACTAGATCAGGGTGAGAGTTATTTCTTCAAAAGGTTAGGGAGTGTCTTGACAGCTGGCTACAAACATCAGTGTGTTCATCCACTGATGATAGATTGGCATCAATACAGCTACAGTTAGCAGCTATCCATCAGCTTTTACAACCCAAATGTCAGTTGTTTCCATTATCACCATGCCTTTACCACTACCATGATCCCTGGCTGCTTATCTGTGTTTATGTGCAAGGGAGAGAAAGAAAAAAAATAGGTGGAGTTATGATTGCGGGTCAAGGCTGTTAATCTGCTGCCCACGTGTTCTATCCACTTCTAATCAACAATGTCTAGGTCACTAGGCACAGGAAGAGGGCATAAACATAAACCTGAATCTAACAACTGTGTGGAATCCAAGCCTTGAACTAAAGTCTAACTGTGGATTTGGCCCAATCATATGAGTTTTAACAAAAATAAATATAAAAAATGAACAAAAAAAGAACAGACTAAAAGGAACTAATGTGCACCCTTCTGCACCTTTTTCCTATGATTCGATAAAAATTCACACCAGAAGCTAACAATGTTTCCTCATGGGCGAATGGTACATCGTACATTATTCATGGAAACCAACATTTGGGGATTCTCAACTGTATTTCATAACAAAAGAAGCAGCCATCAGAAAACACAGCCTAAAGAAAAAATGTTTTAAATACAGAAGAAGCAATGAGATAAAAGCTAAACACACAGAATACATACACATTGAAGAGGCTCATTACATATGTTTCATATGTTGAACTGCACAATGGTTCAAACTCAGTTCTCTACAAAAACTGTACAATTAAAGCACACAGTGTGGGAGGTCTGCTGAACAAACATATACACTTCAAGCATGGATGGGTAATGGGCATCTACTGTATATCTTTACTGATGTATAATGAGCCCTCAGACAGAGGTGGCTTGTTTACAGAAGAGAGCAGAGTCTCTGTGAAGCCCGTAATTATAGAATTTGAAATTATCTCAGTGAGGGAAATTACCAAGATCTGCCCCTTCAAGCCGTTTTAATTACACAGATTGAATTTGTGCACTCACAGTCTGTCACAAAGTTAACAGGAAGTGCAGGTAGTGCTTTGAAATGTGATAGTGTGTATATGCAGGAAGACATCATTTGTGTCAGAATAATAAGGTTTAATCTGAAAAGAGTAGGGATTAAAGAGGACAATGTATTTTCAGAGATGGATTTTAATGGCTAATCCTTTATACCAGTTACTCCCTTCAGCCACTTTCATGCCCTCTACTAGGACACTGCCAACACACCCATAAACCTTTTGATCTAATATGATCAACTGACAAAATCGCTATTCACACATTAGACTTTTAAATCTGGGCATTCAAGTGTTTTATTTCCGCTCTTACTACTGTGACTTAAAATAGCCTCTCTAATGTGCATGAGGATTTCAAAATCACATTTATGATATCTGTAAGTACAAACCATCACACAATGATCACACTCACCATGTGACTCTCGCCCAGCTCCCTGACCAAAGCCGTTGTCATACGACTGTGTAGGCGAAAAAGAAAAGGTCATTCAATTCCAATACTTCATATATCAAGAAATGCTAACATGTCAGAAGAGGCTGAACAGGTTTAAGACCGTGATGCACTATTGAATCCCTCTAAATAAAGTATTTCTAGGCAGGGTGCCACCTCCTGAAGGTGGGGTGCCTATTCTCCTCATTCAAGCATAGAGGCACTGCTTTGAATGGTGCAGAAACAGTGACTGTATGATTGGGGGCAGTCTTCTTGGTCTGGACTATAGATCTTATTGCATTCGTAGATTTGGGGTGCAGCACAAACCGCACCTTCTCCCACAGTTTAATACCTCATTCTAGGATTTTAAAATCAGCTCACCAAACTTCCTCGGATATATTCAATGGCCTTTTGGATGTCCATGCCTGACCAGTCATCCAGCATGTAACAGATACTGGCAGCACAGTAGATAAAGCGTATGTCATTTTCACTTCCTTCTGGCACTGCATAGAAACTGGAAGCAAGAGGACACCGACACAAAAAGTCAGACAAACAGGAGAGAATCATAAACAAGTGGAAATTAGTTAGCTGACTATATTCAAGATTTGTAGCATTTAAGTCATATTTTGACAAATGCAATAGAAAGCCTGTCAGCTGAAAGTCCTAACATGTTTAATCAGATATATTTATGTTATGGCTGAAAATTGTGATAACTACCAGACATGATACTCTACAGACACTGTCTGTGTGTTTGTGCACGTGGACAAAGTAACTACTGTTACCTAATGTGTGTTACTGTCAGTAAACATTAAGACTACTGTGTAGACTGCAAATGTGTATTTGTTCGTGTACTCACCTGCCATCCTCCAGCTGCAGTGCTCTGAGACCAGCCAGACAGGCCTGTTTGTTAACCCGACCTAGGTTATCTCCCAGTATTAGCAGTGAGCACAGACCAGTGTAGGTCATGGCTACATGGCCACTGTCATATGGATGGAGCACCCCTGGACCCTGAATAATATACAGAATCAAAATGACATAATATTCATAGAACTGCAGTGGAATCACAAAACTGCACTGGCACAACATTATGATGACTGGTAATGTTACAGCTGCTAGGATGATGCTAATAAACTAAAAATGTCCCAGAGCCCCCCCATGTGGGGTAACTGACAGGTGCAATGATTGGAATAGCTTAAAAAAAAAATCTAAGTATTTTCAGAAATATTAATGCAAAAGAAGAAATAGAGAAAACAAGGGATCATGGCAGCAAATATTTTGAACCAAAATATATTTTTAGACTAATGCAAATGAAAGTGATGCTTTACATTTTACATACAAGACATAATTGTTTGATCAAACTTGGGATCAGGTCTAAAAACAGTGTGGGGTAAGCAGGGACAGTACCTTAGTGCTATAAGGAATTCCAATATGAGATGATCCTCGAAACCCACAACGACTTAGGTTAGATTCTGGAGGACAGTACAAAGGCAGGTCAGACTCAGCAATAGGCACCTAATAAAAATCAAAAACACTACTATGCTTTACTGTCTTACATTTTTACTGCCCTTCAGCAAGGTGCTGCAAAGATGTATAACTTAACCTACTGGCTATAAATACAGTGCACTGATGTCATCTATTGGCCATGATAGGAACAACAACATCAACATACTCCAAACCACACAGTCATCAGGGTCCCAAATTATATCAGTTTTTTACTGTGAGAGGGTCACAGTACACTGTACGTGCATTGCATAATGGAAAAGCTCTTTTTATCTTGAGTGTAAAACTTTGCATATTAGCACTCGGTCAAACCAGAGAAGTCTGTTAATAGGGATGGGATGATATGACTTTTCCTCGATATGATTCGATGCACAATATGGTATGTACAATTCGATTCAATCATGGCACAATTAAAAATTCAGTGCAAGTCGCATTTAAACAAGGATAGACAATGTCTGGCTGAGACACGCAACACATTTCTATCTTGAGTTAACTTGTGAATATATTAACATCCAACACACTTGTTCTCATTTGGACAACACCACCACATCCTTCAGCAGTTGGGAAAAGGCTCAGAACTGATGACTGTATCATCAGTATGAAAATGACACTAAGAAAGTGCATCCCAAACTGGATTTTTACAATTAATAACAAGAAACCAGCCAGACACCAAACATATGGCAGCAAAGATCAGGCTGATAAGGCACAGCTATCCTGAATAGATTTCAGTTGATGTCTTGAATAATTAACTAGCATTAGCATCTAAACAGATGGCACAGAGTTGCTTGTAGAGACAGAAAAACAAGTAATCAAATATTTAGAGTAGATGAATACACATTTTTGACAGCATGTACACTTTTTTCCATATGGCAGCCCACTAACCAGGATAAGAATAGCAAGAATGGGTTTTCCTTATAACAAGATACTAAGCAAGCGTTTAGGTAAATCGAACATTGCCTAAATAATTATTGTATGGCCAGCGTAATTTAGAGCCCAACTTTCCCAGATGAACAGAGGTACAGTTGGAACAGGTCTGGTGAGGAAGACATAGGAAGGCCATTATCTGGTTCAAAATCCAAAATGGATGAAAATATTTGTGACATCAAAGCTTGAGAACTCTTATGTTCTCACACTTAAGGAAGCTTTCTTGAAGTGTATGTTTTAAGAAACTCTCATAATGGCAGCCACCTAACCTCGCCCTGAGCCCCAGTGGTCCTCTAGTTGCTATCCTGCTCTCACTCAATAACCTACATTTACATGAAATGTTCTGAGTATCTGTTTCACCTTCTGTCACTTCCACACATAACTTCTATATTATGTCATGAAATTTTTGCATTTTTCTTGATGTGTCTATTCAAACACCCCTAGCCTACCCCATGGAAATGTGTACATTACATTCCAGATCCAAAGATATTCAATTTACCATGACAGAAACACACTGCATTCCCACATTTGAAAAGCTTCAACCAGTAAATATTTGGTATTTTTACTTAAAAAAAAATGGCTGATTATTTGATCAAAATTGCCTGATTAATTTACTGTTGATCGACTAATTGATTAAGCTACTATCCAATTAACTGTCTAAACTCGGTCTATTTATAGTCAGGGGTGAAGAAGTGAGAAGACTTACGATCCTCTGTGGGCAGAACTTGTAATGAGTAGATCCATTCAATTATGATGTTCCTATCAACCACATCAAGAGCATCCAGCACGTCCAGACCAGACAGAGCAAAAAACACAACAGTTAACCTGAAAAGAAGGCAAATAGCAGTCTTATTCATTTTTACTCGTTTAGTACTGATGGACATAAAAATCAGCATAAGATGCAAGAATCATAAATTAATACCATATTAGATTAACGTTACTAGATAACAAATCCCGATTCAAAAACTTTTTTTATTTTATTTTACAGAAAAATAAAACAAACCGATTAGCTAATGTTACGCAACGTTACCTACTGGTTATGTTCAGTTGGCTGAGACAATATTTAAATGAAATACTTCACAAACTTAACAGCCAGTTTAAAATTCCATCTTAAATTAGGTTTATTTCTATGATAATACAACTTAATAACGCTGACAAGTTTCACCGGGCGTCGTGCCCAGCTGTGCCGTTAGTTTCCCGTTTTACTACAGCCATTCTGTCATACTGTAACTTCACTACCATAACTAATCAAAGCTAGCACGCTAAGCTAACTAGCGTTAGCACTAACTTCCATTCAAACCGGTCGGTGAACCACAGCTAACGCTAACGCTAGCCAATTTCTTCAAATAAACATTTAAACTACAGCATCATTTTATCCTCCGGCACACTTACCTGGTTGTTTCTAGAGATGCATATCTCTCGGGTAACACCTGAAGCGTTCTCTGGAAGAATCGGATATGCCGATCTCTTAAAAAGTCTATTTGCTCAAATTCTTCAAACTGACTGTCCTCTTCCGCCATCTTTGCATCCGCGTCTATGAGGAACCTTTTCCGGAATGTTTGTTGTTTCAAAATAAAAGCTCATATTACAGAGAGGGTCTTAAGTACATACTGTATTATACAGTCTTACTTTTATATTACTTTGGAAATTTTCTTGGCATTTCCTTAAATAGCCCAATATATTCCAATACTTATTCCTAGAAATCTGTGAACCCCTAATAACGCTGACCTCCAAAAAACATTCACTACATTTTACCAAGGCAAAATTAACCAACAGAGAAGTAGTGGAAATTTAAACAAAATCATAATTACAAACTTTTATTTTAAATAACCATTTTTTAAAATGTAAGTTACTCCATAGATTGTACAAAATGGCAAACATCAGCACATTGTGGTTTCAAATAAAGGCACAATCTGATATTGAGGTCCCACTGTGTACATTTTGATTTGTGAATGTGTTTCAGGACAGCACCGTTGGCTTCTGTTGTTACTCATCACAGCCCTTGTCTCCAACTGGGAACAGCTCTACAGCAAAATTAAAAATATTTTCATTGATTCAGTAACCAAACATCAAGTATTATCCCAAACATCCCTTAACCTCACCTAGCGATTGTAAAAAATAAAATGGCAATCAGACCTGTGAAACATTTGTAGCACAGGCCCTCCTCCTGAAGGTCCGATGTGTTTCATTCGCTCCTCCCATCCCTTAGTGGGACGAGTCAGTCTGGAGGGGTCTCTGCTAATGTGAACATCCACCTGAATGAGGATATGTCACAATTTTCCTAAATCCACAACTCTGCTTATCGAAGGCTTTAAAGATTTTCTGGTTTTGTGAGATGTTTTAAGATAATGTTTGTTCATCATTTTGAGAGATCTTGTGATATGTGACTGATGTATACCCTATACAGTCCTTACCTTCTCCTTCAACTTAGCAGAAATTCTCTTCTGTCTTTCCTCCTCTTCTTTCTCCCTCAGTTGTTTCTCCTGAAGCTTTGCCTCCACCTTGTGAATATCCTGAAGAAAACACATTCTGTGTTACACAGTGTAGTGGATTCCCTATTTACCTGCCAAAACAAGCCTTTGTAATTTTTTCCAACATTTGAAAACCTGCTAAAACATCATATCACTAAAATACATCATATTGCAACCTCACATTATAAACTGATGTCAAAATAGCACCCATGCAGATTTGCTGTTTAACATCTAGTGGAAAATCCTGGCCTTTAAATGTGATACCACCCAGCACTCTGGTTCAAAACAAACAGCTGGTTCCTCTGTCTTTGTGATTCCCAGACTTCGTACCCTTTCAGTGAAGCGTTTGATGCTCTTTGCTGCCTCCCTTCTCCTGTTATCCCTCTCCCTCTGTTCTTCCTCCTGCCTCCTCTTCTCCTGTTCCTCCTCCTCCTCTCTCTTCAGTTGTAGCTGCTCCTCAATGCTCAGCTTCACTTCCAGCTGACGACGAAGCTCTTCCTGATAAAAAGTTGCCATTTTGACTGGTAAAGGTTTGAAGGCATTAGCCATGCACCTGTTTTCATCAATCTCTGTTTTATATGTGTATTCATTTTCACGCTAAATAAATTACACAATACTCAAAAACACACAGATAAGAACATATCAATAAAGAAGCTCTACCTCAAATGACTTCTTACACACATATGCAAAAAGCACCTTTGCCCGCCTCCTTTTTTGTATCTCCTCAGCCAACTTCTGCTCCTCTTCCTGCTCCTCCTTTCTTCTCTTCTCTTCTCTCCACTCCTCTAATCGCTGTGCTGCCTCCTTCCTCTGCTCCTCAGTCCTACAGCAAGAGCATAAAATACACACACACACACACAAAAAAAACAATGAACAAATAAAGCCCCCAAATTCACCCTTCCATAAAGTGACCAATCAAACTATTTGGGTGCCTGTCAGATCTGGTGAGGTCTTATGTTTTTGGGGTGTGTTTTACAGTTTTAGCCATGGAACAAATAGGTGAATCCCAATTTCATTATTTTATTGTTGCTCGCTCCTCAATCCTCACTAGAAACAGGAAGTCGTTCCAGTCGACCATGATGAAGGACATCCCAAAGCTCTTATTTCTGCTCTGAGGAGCGAGGAGCAAGCAGGCTGCCTGGAGGAGCTATAACCAAGGACACATTAGTGTATCCTTCATTGAAGTCTGTTATGGACTGAAACGCCCCTTTGTTGGAAATGAGTTTGTGATTGGACGCTTCACATGAAGGCTCAAGGAAAGGACATCTCATATCAGTTAAAATATGTTTCCTTGGTTCCTTTCTCCTCGCAGTTTCTCCTTGCATCTTTTCTCTGCGTCTTACCTGGGTGGGACTAACTTGCAAGGAAAAGGTACAAGTGAGGGAAACATGGATGTAATTAGGTGAACTGGGATTCACCTAATGTGTGCTCCACCTCATGTTTCTGTTTTTTGTTCTATTTTATATTCATCTTCTGACTCACCGTTGTTGCTGGGCCTGTTTCTTGGCCTCATTCTCCCTCCTTTGTGCCTCCTCTGCCTCCTCCTGACTCTGTATCCTGGTATGGCGCTCTTGATTTTTCCTGGCTTTCCACTGCTGAATAGCCTGGATATGGAATGAAGACAAGTAGTGAAAATGGAAATCAAACAATATAATAAAAGGCATACTACTGGAAACAATAGTAAAGTTTAAAGTTTAACTCAAATGAAAAAAGCAAATGTGTCCTCCACACACAATTGTGCAGGTGATCAAAGACTCCTATCAAAACTGTGGTGATGGCTAATAAGGGGAATTTGGTTTTTCAAAATCCAAAGTAACAGAGTTTTTTACATAGCATTTTAGTGGCTTCCATGGGCCAGAGGGTATGGTTACCTTTACACATGCCAGTTTTCTCACAGCTGACAACATATCTATCCAAAAGAGGGTTGCTTTCCTGTTGAGCTCATACAGGTTTTATCATACTTCTCTACCTTTCTCTTTCTGTCCTGTAGGTGAAGCAGTTCCTGATGCCAGTCCTCATGCTGCTCTATCTCCTCCAATGTTTTACCAGGCAGGTACAGTTTAGCCTCTTTCCTGTAGTCTGGTTGCCCACTGTGCTTTGTCCAGACCTGTAAATCAGACAGATTAGACAGACAGAAGCCTTGCAGCAGTCAGCCACTGGTTTGGCATCTGCTAAAGTTGCTTGAAGCAAAATGCTGAACAATATTAGTTTAAGCGGCAGTCTGTGACTGTGTGTAATGGGAAGCTGGCAAAAGAACAGAGGATTTCAAATACAGCTGAAGCTATTGAGGCACAATGACATTATTGTCTTACTTTGAGAAAGGCTTGGTGGTCATACTGGTCCCAGCCCCCATAAAAGCCTCCAGTTTTCTGCAGGAAAACCTCCAGTGCTCTGACCTCTGCAGAAAGGTCTCTGTCCTGGGGTCTGGTCTTATGGAAAAAACAATGCTATGAATGAAATGCCACATGAGTGAGAACTCAGAATGCATTAACACTTTCTTATGATTTCAGAAATAGTCTTGTATTTCAATCTCTGGGCTCCAAAGCTGTAATATCTTGTAACATTTATTTATCACACATAATAAGATTCTACACTTGGCTCTCCATCTTATTTTCATTGCATTAACAATGGGAAAAGAAAAATGCAGAAAGGAGAGTGAAGAAAAGGGACAGACCTTAGGAGCAGTGGGTAGTTTAGTGTCTGATTTGACAGCAAAGTTCCAGTTTTCTAGCTTCTTCTCATAAGCAGTGATCTCCTGTCTGCATGTCCTCTCCTCCTTCAGAAGTTCCTCAAAGCTGAGAGGAGCAGAAAAACACAGAAAACAAATATTCACATTTTCATTACAGTGCAGGTAATTATTCCTGATATTAAGTCACTTGGCCACTTCACTGTACATATGCGTTTACTTTTACCTTTTTGTTTAACTGATGTAAGAGTACTTTGCTTATTTATTGCTAATTGGTGGAGGACGAAACATTTTAAACAACCTGGGCTGAGTCAACACTTCTTTAACATGATCTCAACAAAGCAAAAATGCTATTTCCTGAAGAGTTACTGTACTGTTATTGTACAGTTATTGTAATATATTACATCTTATCTTTGTGTTTTTTCATTTTCTGTTGGTGTATTCTCTTACCATATGCGCTGCTCCTCTCTCATGGTGCTGATTGAGATTTCCACCTCTGACATTATTTCCTTCAGTCTTTCAATCACTGGAAACCCAACCAGAAATGCAAAACACATGATTAAAGATGACTATGGCTTTACTGAACAGTGCACTAAACTGTAATAGCATCTGGATTATGGATCCAGCAAAATGGCAAAAATATTGATGATACAAAATTATTACAAACAGGTTAATGGCAAAGATGATGGATGAATAAATAGTAGAAAAATGTTTAAGGTACCAATGAAGAAACAATGGCAGAAAAAAACTACTTTGCTGAATGTGGTTGCTTTGATATTTCCTGATACTACTTACACTCAGGAGTTGGCTTCACATCTATAAGCTGTCTCTGAAACTTCCTCACACCATTATGAATCTTCACCAGTTGGTTTTGAAGACTAATTTCTAAAGTTAGGGGAAAGAAATCAGATTATTTATCACAGTTATAAGATTTATCTCTGCTTAATTACATAACCTACGAGTGAGGTGCACAGGTAAGATAATGGGTTGACATGTGACTACATCTTAACATATGATACACTTTTATAAGGTAAATATGAGGTATATTAAAAAGCAATATGATTTTTTTCTTATACATTCTGATTTAAAATGTGTAGCTTGTGATCTTCAGTGACGTCCCCTAAAAAGTCTAGGAGAAATAATAGGCTATTGTAAAACAAATACAGGCTTACTCTCAGCATTTCTATTTTCCTCCAGCACCTTCTCATATTCTTCCAGGTCTCCAGATACATCTGTCCAGCCATTCTTTCTGCACTGAACACTCCACGCCCTCTCTTTCTCCAGCTTTTCAATTCTGTAACGAGGAAGAAAAAAAAATTAAATGAGAAAGTTACATTACTGATCAGCAAAAACACACTGATATTAAGGTTTCAAGTCTTCAAAAGGTCCAGAGATAAATGTTATATTATAGAGAAGTTACATTAATGCTGCACAAATAAGGAATGTGTGATTTCAGATTATTACCACATTCAACTTGAAAGTATAACATGGGGTTAGCTGGTCTCAAATTATGTACCAAATCCATTATTGCTAGTGTCAGGCCTACATACATGGGACTAGAAATTACATGCACATACAAATGTCAGTTTTACTTTATTTTGAGGCTGCTATTTGGGGAAATTATGGACGGATTAGGAGACAATGGGCCCTTGAGCACAGACAGATTAAAAGCCCTCAGCCCCCTGATGCATGTCATTTTGTGTGTTGTCTTATGATGTAGTCTTTTTTAGTCATTTTGCATTTCTTTGTAGTAATTTTGTTTATTTTTTTTTCCATTTTTTCATGTCTTGATGGATGTTTTGTGTCTCTTTGTTTTTGTTCTTTGTGTTTTGACTAAGCTGCATTTCTTTCACACTAGAAATATGTCACCGCATACAGAGGGCCCATCTGGTAATCTATCCATAGTGGTAAATCATTTATTACAGGGCATTACTTTCATTTTGTCCACGCACTCTGTCTGTACAGTGATAGTTAAGTGTTTCAAAATTTAGAATTAAATCTGAAATAACACTTTTTCACTCTTACTGCCTCCTGTTCTTCTCGGCTTCCCTGAGAAACTGTGTGGCTCTCCGTCTGCCCAGCCTGTCATCCAGCCTGTCACCGCTGACCAGGGATGATTTGCAGGGCTGCTGGACACCGGAGTCTCCCTCTTCATACTCAGTTTAATTTAGCAAAAGCAAAGAAAAAACACTGATCATTATGCAGCATATAAAACAACCACAAATATTCGCTGAAAAAAACTTAGGAATATGTTGAACTTCTCGAACGTCGCGTCCGATAATAGAACTCTAAATCTCTCGTTTGGAACCGCATTATCACGGGCAGGCGAGTATCATATGGGGCATCCATTTTCGGACAAGAACTAGTAGATGTTGCATGTCCTCTTACAAAATACCAAACACTCCAAAACAATTATACTAATATATTGACGAGGGAACATCGTCAGTGGCTAGCATATGTAATACAAAACCAAGAAGTTAGCAAGCGGCTCCCGTCTCTACTTAGCGAACACTAGCTAGTTCGAAACACCACATTTCCTGTTTTACCTGCAAACTTTTAACATTTTAGATAATTAAAATACTGTCAACTGACTAATATAACATTCCAGTTATTTAGTAAATTTCGCAAACAGCTCTGTCATAGCTACCCAGCCGTGTGTATCAGCGTATCCTACGGTTGCTAAGGTGGCCATGTTTAAGTGAAACTGTAAACAAAACAAACTTTATTTAAAAAACGACTATGCCAGTCAGCACTCATGTAGTTACGATTCGTGCCAGCAGAGGACGCTGCTTGTCATTAATCGATTTCATACAGTAATAGGTATATTACCGCCCGAAAGACTGGACTAGACTGGAACATATTATTTCCCACAGGGCTGATGACCAGGCTACATGAGAGGAGACAAACCCCAGGCCAGATTAAAGTCTTAGGTGCCCCAGGGCAAAAGCCTCTTCTTACTGACCCCTCTGCAAAAGGCAGTTTCATTATTTCTCCAGGGACCTAGAAACCAACCAGTACTCGACACGATCAAGTACTAAAAATGTTCATTACCTAACATAGAAAACAATAAAACAATTTTATAACAAATGAGCTCAATATAATTAATGGATTCATAATGGTTATACTGAGCCTCCAAATAATCCAATAGATTCTTTATTAACTAAATAGTATTAGAAAAGAAACTCTTATATCTGTTTCATATTTACTGTGTTGCGTTCTCAACATTAACACTATTTCCAGTTTTGCACACACATTGATAGCTAGTCAAACAACAACATTTTGTCAATAATGGATAATAACTAAATCATTAGTAAATGATCTATCAACGTTTAATAAATGGTGAAAAAAATAAAGGCAAAACTGCTTACAGACCCTTTATAAATGGTGCCTTATAAGAGAACAATGTGAGTATTTTTGATCAATTATGTTGTAATAATCACTGAGATAGATAGTATTATATGATTTAGGACTTTTTTACTCTCTTTTTAAAAGTCCCTTTCTATTTAAAATGGCATTTACTAGACTTTCTGTAGCGCAGTGTCTGTACCCCATACCCTGCTACAACTCGGTGGCTTGAGTTAGACTCTGTCAGATACATGCCTATGTTGTCTACTGAGGCTTTGGTTATTTCTGTAACAGCCTTTTTATGATGGCCAACAGCTATAATTATTACTAGAGCTTGCCAAGTGACAGTCTGAGAGAAAAAGGCTGAGAGAAAGAGAGAGTGAGGAGAAGTATAAATAGAAACCTGGATCCATTATTGAGTGCAGATATTGGGGATGGTTACTCCCATGGGTGCAGAGGCAGAATTGTCATTGCAACATAAATAGCAACCACTCTCTTTAATGAAGAGCGTTACAATTTTCTATCTTCACCCTCAGCCAGGGGACTCACTTATTTAACAAATGAGACAATGAGATGAGCCAGTCAATTGGATGGCATTACAGATCAGAAAAACATGCTGTACAAAGTAGGAGATGCTAAGACCAGACCAGGTTTGGGTACAAACATATAAATGTTAAAGATCTGTGATAATTTAGCTCAGTTCAAAAATAGAGTATACAGTGCCTTGCGAAAGTATTCGGCCCCCTTGAACTTTGCGACCTTTTGCCACATTTCAGGCTTCAAACATAAAGATATAAAACTGTAATTTTTTGTGAAGAATCAACAACAAGTGGGACACAATCATGAAGTGGAACGAAATTTATTGGATATTTCAAACCTTTTTAACAAATAAAAAACTGAAAAATTGGGCATGCAAAATTATTCAGCCCCCTTAAGTTAATACTTTGTAGCGCCACCTTTTGCTGCGATTACAGCTGTAAGTCACTTGGGGTATGTCTCTATCAGTTTTGCACATCGAGAGACTGAAATTTTTGCCCATGCCTCCTTGCAAAACAGCTCGAGCTCAGTGAGGTTGGATGGAGAGCGTTTGTGAACAGCAGCTTTCAGTTCTTTCCACAGATTCTCGATTGGATTCAGGTCTGGACTTTGACTTGGCCATTCTAACACCTGGATATGTTTATTTGTGAACCATTCCATTGTAGATTTTGCTTTATGTTTTGGATCATTGTCTTGTTGGAAGACAAAGCTCCGTCCCAGTCTCAGGTCTTTTGCAGACTCCATCAGGTTTCCATCCAGAATGGTCCTGTATTTGGCTCCATCCATCTTCCCATCAATTTTAACCATCTTCCCTGTCCCTGCTGAAGAAAAGCAGGCCCAAAACATGATGCTGCCACCACCATGTTTGACAATGGGGATGGTGTGTTCAGGGTGATGAGCTGTGCTGCTTTTACGCTAAACATAACGTTTTGCATTGTTGCCAAAAAGTTCGATTTTGGTTTCATCTGACCAGAGCACCTTCTTCCACATGTTTGGTGTGTCTCCCAGGTGGCTTGTGGCAAACTTTAAACGACACTTTTTATGGATATCTTTAAGAAATGGCTTTCTTCTTGCCACTCTTCCATAAAGGCCAGATTTGTGCAGTATACGACTGATTGTTGTCCTATGGACAGAGTCTCCCACCTCAGCTGTAGATCTCTGCAGTTCATCCAGAGTGATCATGGGCCTCTTGGCTGCATCTCTGATCAGTCTTCTCCTTGTATGAGCTGAAAGTTTAGAGGGACGGCCAGGTCTTGGTAGATTTGCAGTGGTCTGATACTCCTTCCATTTCAATATTATCACTTGCACAGTGCTCCTTGGGATGTTTAAAGCTTGGGAAATCTTTTTGTATCCAAATCCGGCTTTAAACTTCTCCACAACAGTATCTCGGACCTGCCTGGTGTGTTCCTTGTTCTTCATGATGCTCTCTGCGCTTTAAACAGACCTCTGAGACTATCACAGTGCAGGTGCATTTATACGGAGACTTGATTACACACAGGTGGATTCTATTTATCATCATTAGTCATTTAGGTCAACATTGGATCATTCAGAGATCCTCACTGAACTTCTGGAGAGAGTTTGCTGCACTGAAAGTAAAGGGGCTGAATAATTTTGCACGCCCAATTATTCAGTTTTTTATTTGTTATCATTGTAAAGGAGGATTCTTTTGATGCCCTTCATGGGGGAAATTTGAGTTGTGTGAAAAAATAGTTTCAACTTACTCAAATTGAAATCATCATTTCAAGATGACATTTTGAAATCATCTTGCAGTCGGATAGAGTTTGCTCAGCTGTCATCTGATGACCTAAATTGACAGGTGGTTTACCTCTTATGCCCCCCACCCCCAGCGACGAATGGAAGAAGTACTCAAATCTTTTACTCAGCTACATGAAAGTCACACATTCAAACATTTCCTTATGTAAAATCATATGAGCACTGGCATGAAATTATATTTAAAGTACCAAAGTGAAAACACTCTTTATACAGAGTGGCCTATTTAATACACATTATATTACTGGAATATAAATTTTAGTGTATTCATGTTGAAGTAACATTAAGGTTACAACTACTTTACACTGTGTACTTTTGGGTGGTTTACTTACATCATTATTTTGTTGTTGCTTATAATTTATATCATTTATTATAATTTGGAGATTAACTATAAATGAAGTGGATAGTAATGTATCAGATAATAATAATACCCAAAGTAAAAGTACCTCAATTTTGTGCCTCAAAGCACATGACTAAAATTTAAGTCCTATCATGACAACTGAACTGTTTCCTCCTTTTTTAATAATTTTAGTTGACACTATATAGTGTTGACCTAGGAGTGTAATGAACAGCCGATACCCGTGAGTGGGAAAGTACTGTAAGAAAGAATGAAAAATATGACCTTTGACCTCTTTTTAGGAGCTAATAGGCTTTTTGTAAATGTTATGAGACATGATCCCTGTAAACTGAGAGGTGAGTTTTGCATTCATGGGTGGTGGAACTCTGAGCCACCCTCCTGCCAGTTCTGTGAATTAGACATGCTTATTTACGAGATTTACCACTGTGTTGATTTTGTGTGTGTGTGTATTACAGAATCAGAATCTGCTTTATTGGCCAGGTGCGTCGGACACATGAGGAATTTGACCCTGGTACATTGGTTCTCAATGTGTATGTACATATCCCCATGCAAGGGGCAAGTAAACAGTAAAGCAGCATAAGGCTGTGTAATATAACAAAAATAAGCAGTATTAACAAGCAACAAACAGTACAAACAATGTAAAATAAGCAGTATAAACAGGCAGTAAAAAATTACTTTCCCACTCTTACACCACAAGTGAGAGTGATTACGGTATGTGTGTGTGACCCTTGTGTTGTACGAGCTGTCAGCCTACTATAAACCAAGTGCTGTTCATCACAGTTAACTACTGTATGTGGACAAACACATATAAACATGCACAAACAAAACAGACGCACACAAAAAAATTTGTCCAGACACCTGACTAACACTGTAATTGTATATGGTGTAAAAAAATGCAATTTGATCTGGCTTGGACTTCATCTTGCACATGTTTGGCATGTTAGACCCAAACTCAGACAGGCAACTGCACATGTGCACATGTGCACGTGTGTGTGTGTGTGTGCTGAGGAGCTCGAGAAGGCAGGGTGATCAGCCTAATTGCTTTTCCTGCTGCCCTTCAGGCTTGCACCTTCTCTCAGTGTGATGTCAGCACATCATCATTTCTCCAAATGTATCTTTAGGTGAACATTCCTCCTGTAACTCAAGCTCTTTACTCATGCATTTCCTTTATGTCTGATAGTTATCAGCCCTTTATGTGACCTCATTTATGTATGTTCTGCAACCAACCTATATACTCTGAAACATTTATATGCTGCTTATCAAATAATTGTTTGGTATAGGGATTACATTTTGGTTCAGAGCACAGGATTCTAAACTGAAGGTTGATATCTCTTCAGGGGGTCAGAAGAAAAATCTGAGGGAATACAAAGAAGAAACACCCAGAAGAAGTTACAATTTTCCCCAAATTCTCTCCTTGACTTTTTCTTTTTCTTTGCAAAATTACATGGGAAGACCATTTTCACAACTTTCTGACATCTGCATATGTGTGTCAAGGGGATCTCCGGTTGCCTTTACTTCATTTTCACAGGGCCCAAAAAAGGTCAATAATCACTGATATAAAAAGGAGTCACTCATGAAAATTTGAACAGATTGCAATGAAAATGTGGCATAGTCCCCAGAGTTTGAATCCTGATTACTTCAGTGATCCACTGACCTTTCATTTAACACCACCAGCAGCTCAAATTTTCCACTACTTGTCCAGCAC